CCCAGTCTTTCAGAGAAAATGCCACAGCCGACTCGTTTATCTATTTTGGAGCCGTCCGTGTAAATGTCAACCGTTTGGAGAGGGATCGCTCTTTCAAGGATCCAGTCCTCCCTGCTAGGTATAAGAGATTCGAACCCCCTAATTAGGTCTGGGTAACAACACATGTAGTCAATAGAGACAGGAGTTGGCAGATCCTGATTCAGTATGATCGCGTGGCCTATATCAGTTCTTGACCAGCAGGAGAGGGCGTTGAGCCTAGTTGCAACTATTTTGGCTTGCTGTTTTACCAGAAGCCGAGATGGCAACCAATGAAGCATAGCGAAAAGAGCTTGCGTGGGGGTAGAGCGAAGAGCACCAGTGATTTGTAGTGCGGCTATCCTCCTAGTTTTGTCAATTAATTTGGTGTGGCATGCTTTTTCAGTTGCTTGCCACCAGAAAGCAGCCCCATACAGAAGAATTGGTTCGATAACAGCTGAATAGAGCCAGAGTATAATGCACGGTTTGAGCCCCCAACTACGACCTATAGCTCTTCTGCAACAGTAGGTGGCGCATACCGCTTTGCGGGCTCTCTCAGCCAAGTTGTCTTTCCAGCTGAGTTTAGAGTCCAAAATTATACCCAGATACTTGACGTTCGAACTTAAATTTAGAGTAACGCCCTTTATCTTTGGTAAGGAAAATGTCGGAATTTTATATTTCCTGGTGAAGAGAATAACCTCTGTCTTTGCAGGGTTAATATCCAGACCGAATTCCCTACACCATTCAGTTACAATGAGGAGCGCAGAGTTAATAACATTGGATAGAACTTGGGGGAATTTGCCAGATGAGGCAATAGCAATGTCGTCCGCATAAGCTATAACACTACATCCGGATTGTTCCAAAAGTTTTAACAACGAATTAACCGCTATGTTCCATAGAAGAGGAGAGAGAACTCCACCTTGTGGCGTTCCCCGACAGACTGCTCTGGAGGATTGAACACTTCCGATGTCGGATGTGATAATCCTAGTTTTGAGAAGGGCCTCTACAAATTTAACCAGACTATTGTCGAGATTTAACTTTGAGAGGGATTTTATGATACCATTGGGGCAGACATTGTTGAAAGCGCCCTCAATATCGAGAAAGGTGGCAAGTGTGTATTCCCTGAGAGAGATGGAATGGTCAACTTGCGAGATGAGTGCGTGAAGCGCAGTATCGACAGACTTGCCTTTAGTATAAGCATGCTGTGATGGAGATAAGAGCGCTGGGTTTATCTTGTTCCTGATATGCAGATCAAGAACTCTCTCCAGTACTTTCAGAAGAAAAGAAGACAGACTGATTGGTCTATAGTCCTTGGCACTGCAGTGAGTTATTTTTCCTGCTTTGGGAATGAATATTACTCGAGCCACTCTCCAGCAGCTTGGAACATACATAAGCTTAATACAACTGTTGTAAATGCTTAGAAGCCAGGGGAGGATTACGAATTCACCCTGTTGAATATCTGCGGGAATAATTCCGTCCGGACCTGGAGATTTATACGGTTTAAAAGTTTGGATAGCCCACTTTATTTGAGTGTTGGTCACTTGAAACGGTTTAGGATTATTTAGAGGGGGTAAGCTGATTTGAGTTGATAAGTCAGCATCAGAGGCTATACTCCCTGGGAAGTGCGAGTCCAGAAGGGTGTCGAGAGTTTCCTTACTGGAGTTGGTCCATTGACCATTTGGAGCCTGGATACAATCGAGTGTCTTATGGGTAGAATTGAGGATTTTGCGCAGTCGGCTTGACTCGGAAGATGATTCTATGTTGCCACAGAAATTTTTCCAAGCTGCCCTTTTGGCCCGCCTAATGGCGTATTTAAATTCTCTTTGTTTCACTTTATATGGAGTCCAGTTACCTGTTTATGTAGCATCGTTAAAAAGTTTTCTACAGGTTTTTCGGAGGTCTGCAATATTCAAGTTCCACCATGGAGGTTTGGGTTTGCCTCTAAATTCGGGTGGCTTGCAGGCCGCATTTGTGGCGCATCTAAATGCTGATGTGAGAAGGTCAACCGCTCGATCTATATCGGAACAGTTGAGAATAGTGGGAGGGTCCAACTGTAAGTTGGATTCCAGGTTGGCTCGAAAAATGGGCCATACAGTACGTTTCCTATTTATTGGTTTAGATGATCTGTTCATTTCAGGGTTCTCCACAAAATTTAGATCAAAATTAATGTACCTATGGTCAGAAAAGGAGCAATCTTGCGATACGGACCACTTAGTAATAAAGTAAGAAAAGTGCTCGCTAATCATGGTGATATCGAGAACTTCCCTTCTAATTGAGTTCATGAAGGTTGGCTCCCTACCTATGTTAGCGATCACCAAGTTTCCTGCAAAAATGAAATCAAATAGACACTCACCTCTCGCGTTTGTATCTGTGCTACCCCACATCTCATGATGTGCGTTGGCGTCAGCTCCTATGATCACCGGGATCCTCCTGTTATTTGCCTCTGACACCAGAAGCTTGAGGGAGTCCTGTGGCGGAGTGGCACCGTGATCGTGTGCCATATATGCTGAGACAATCCAAAGGGCCTTGGAGTCGTATTCGATGGCCATGGCTACATTGTCATTGTCACTGAACCTAGGGAGTAAAAAGGCATTAATGTTATTTTTTACTAGAATGCAAGATCTTGGTTTACCTTGACCTTCTGTGAATACTAACCGATAGCCGTTTGTATTCAGTCCACAAACCCGATTGTTTACAATCCAAGGTTCTTGGATCAGCATTATGTCCTCTCCTTTTTCAGCTAGGCGGAGGGTAAGGGCTGCCGAAGCAGTTTTGGAGTGTTGGAGGTTAATTTGGACGACCTTCAACAGCTTAGTTGTTTTTCAACTATGGTACTGTCCAGTTCATCCTCATCCGACATCGGTGAGGTCTCCCGGGAAAGCGCCATACCTGTAAAGAACTCGCCGACCAGTTTGGAAGACGAGATTACGCTACCTCCGTCTTCGGAGGAAGGAGTGCCGATTAAATCGGAAGTTCCTACATCGGGGTTGATTGGAACTGGGATGGAACCGATTCCGTCATCGGAGATCGTTTCCGAAGGTGCCCCCCCAGAAGGTTGTTGCTTAGCGGCTTGAGAGTCACTTTTGTAAACACGTAGAGTGACCAAACCGAAGCCATAATGAATCACCCCATTTCGGGCTTGAAGGGGTGCTAAAGATTCTTC